GGAATCGAGAGACGCGTGTTTTATCCAAGTTCGGCCCCTCGCGGTAGAGGTAAAAGCTTACATCATGCTTGATTGGTATTTATGATGATCTCGATTACAAGTGTGATGTTTCCCTACCTCTAATCTCAAGAGCTTCTACTTTTATCTTGTCTAAAACTTGTCTATCTTGACTTGTCCCTCTTGGGGTGCCTTGCCCCTCCTTATATAAGTTGAAGGGGCCGGCTTACATGTAGAGTCCTAGTAGGGCTACAACTAGTCTATTTTCTATTACAAGTCGGATCCTAGTCCGGGTCTTTTCTTCCAAGTTAAGACAATCCTTCTTGTGCCTTCTCTATGAGTCGGCCCTTCGGGGTTCCTTCATGAGCTGGCATTTGGCCGGGTCTCACTCTTGGGCCTACGGGCCCTTCTTGTCTTCTTGCCATGACCCGGAAAATAAGGTGACCCATGAAGCTGCCATGCTTCTGGTCGGGTCACACATTTGGTCGAGTCTTGGTCATGGGGAATATCCCCAATAGGTACAGCCCGCGAGACTTTACCCCAGCCTTCTTTGGAATTTTGATAAGAAAAGATCGGTTTTTAGCGCAATGCAAAACTCTGCTTGGCTGTGGGATCTCTCCCATGGATTCAGAGATGAAATGCTTGTTGAGCTTATCAAACTATCCTCCAGGATAGAGATCTTAACGTTGCAGCCTGGGACACCGGACTCAAATCTTTGTAAGCTCTCAACAGATGGTGTGTACTTGGCAAGGTAGGTGTACCACATGCTTTTTGTTGGAAAAGTGAGCAAGCCATTTGTTCATCTTATGTGGCGTGTGCGAGCTCCCTTCAAATGCAAGTTCTTCTTGTGGACCGTCGTGCATCACAAAATTCTTATGGCAAATATCCTTCTGCTAAGGAGCTGGGAGAACAATTTTTTTGCCCCATGTGCATGCATAATTTTAAGACGGATGACCACATTCTCGGGAAATGTCCTCGGTCACAAGAGAAGTTTTGTCGCTTTGTTGGAAAGTATAGCGACACTGTCATCAGCAGTTTGGCAGGCTTTAGCTACAACTATTGACTAGTGTTCTTCACTCTCGTCAAACCTTCCCAAGCCTGATTGTGCAGCCGAAAAGTCCTTGACCCTGCTTCTTTCATGGGAAATATGTCGTGAGCGTAACCGTCAAATCTTCAAGAAGAAAGAACTGTCGGTGCAGGTTGTTATAAATCTAGCTTGCTAGTTTGTCTCATGAGTAGACAAAGATCTATCATGGAGGGTGTAGGACATTCTTCTACCCTTTGTTTTGTTTCTCTTCTTTTTCTTGCCTTTAGGTTGTTTCTTGGTACCTTGTCCCATCTCTTGTACCTTGCCATCGGCTTTCTCTTCTAAAATGGAATCTTAGCAGTTCTCCTAGTAACTTTCAAAAAAAGGGAGAGGAGTCCTCAAACCATGATAATGATAATAACTGTTGGACTTGCCTTTGGAAGATTCACGTCCCAAGTAAAATCAAGATGTTACTATGGCATCTAGTGAAGCATTCCATACCTACTAGAGAGGTTCTTCGGCATTGAAACATGTTGCCAATGCCAGTTTTCCCTCTTTGTGGAGCTAAGGATACATGGAGACATACCCTCCTTGATTGTTCTATGGCCAGAAGTGTGTCAGATTTCGCTCCAGAGACGGTGGTCGAACACATTTGTCCCAAACAAGATCAAGATACAAAAGGTTGGCTCTTTTCTTTACTCAAGAATACGTCGAATGTCGGATTCATCACCATGCCAGTCACATTATGGGTTGTTTGGCATGCCAGAAGAAAGGCTATTCATGAGGAGATAATTCAGAGTCCTTTCTCAACTGATATGTTCATAAACTCTTTCTTGTCTGAGTTACAGATCCTAGAGAAACCAAAAGCCACATTCATCAAGTCAGGGCCTATAAGGCGTAATCATTGGCTGGTAGCACCAAAGGGACTTTGCAAAATCAATGTTGATGCAGCGCTGACTAGGAACGAACCTACTGGTGTTGTGGGAGCCTTATGCAGAGATCATTAGGGACTTTTCTTGGGAGCATCGGCAGTGGTCTTTGTGGGATATGATGATCCTACTACCTTGGAAGCATTGGCTGTGAGGGAGGTTTTGGTATTGGCTAATTATCTTTAGGAGCAGCACATCCATGTGGCGTTGAGTAAATAGCATAAAACTACTACTTTACAGGCTAAGGTTCCAAAAAACTACCGAAAATATTTTTTTCTCCGATAACTACCAAGTCAGGGGTCGGCTGTTTCAAAAAACCCAAATCGCCGTGTGATTTAAAATCAATCCAGATGATGACAGGTCGGGCCCGCACCTAAATAGGAAGTTTGTTTGACTCCTAGCTTACGCATGGGGTCCACATGTCAGCCTCAACCTCCTCTTTTGAATCATTTCCTCTCTGCCTCATTCCGTCGAGCACCTTGTGTGCGTGCAGCTTGATGGGGGAGGAGAGCTCGGTTGCTCATCAGGGACGAGAGCTTGGTTGCTCGTTGTGGGGGGGGAGCTTGCTAGATCCGGTGCGCGGCCTCATATGTGACCATGGCGGGTCAGGCGACGGAGGTCGAGGTCCAAGGCAGGCTGGTGTCGTTCATGGCCGTACGCGGGCGACGGGGCGCAGCCGTCGCCAGCCAACACCGGCGATTCAATTCCGGTGGTTGCCGTAGCTCTCCCCGACCTGGCCACCCTCACCCGAGTCGGGCCTGTGCTCGACGGTGGGAGCGGTCACCGCTCGGATTCTGGGAGAGCACGAGGCGTCCACCTCTTCCGCCCCCGTCGAGCCTTGCCTCCGCGCCGAGGCCGACCAAGCCGCCACCACCTCCAGTCGGCGCCTCCTGGACCAAGCACGCCGAGGTGCTCGGCTGCTCCACCCACCTCGAGCAGGCATGACGAAGAAGGAAGAGAGATAAGCCACCCATGGCGCGTGTGGCGACCGCGGGCGAAGCCCCATGGCGCGCGGCGACGACCACGGGCAAAGCCCCATGGCGCACGGTGACCGCGGGCGGAACCCCATGGCGGCGGCACACGATGGTGACCACCCATGGCGGCGTGCAGCGGCAACCACGGACGGAGCCCCATGGAGGCGCAACGGCGACCACGGGCAGAGCCCTTTGGAGGCGCGGCAGCGACAGTCCAAGGACCCGATTGTTTTTTTAAATGATTCCAAGGACCCGATTGCTTTTTAAAAATATTTGTAGGGGCTAATCCGTAAAAAATCTGTGGATGAGGCGCTGATATGTGACCCCTACAAGTCAGTCAACAGTCAAACAAACGGTCAACCAAACAAGTATATAACCAAGGACCCTCTTAGAAACATATTTGAGTATCTGGTTGTTTCAGGCTGCCTAGCAGCAAATACGCCTTAGAAATACGGAAATGTTAACGCCCACACATGTGGGCGTTTGCATCTCGCCCACACGCGTGGATCCGCGTCCGTTCGTGAGCGCACGAATCTTGGCATGTTTCTAGTGCCACGTAGGACTGGCCTGGTGTGTGGGCGTTCAGCCGGTCGCCCACACGACCGTTTCACCACACAGGAGGGGCTGGTGTGTGGGCGTTCAGCAGTTCGCCCACACGCCACTTTGCACGCACACACAAGGGCTAGTGTGTGGGCATTTGACAGCTTTCCCACACGCCTTTCTCCTCTCCCACACCCAAGCTGCTAGTTGCCATGTGTTTTTGCACTGCACATGGCAACTGCCCTTAGTGTGCTTTTATAAGCAGGTGGCAACTCTCTTTTTTTACCCGAGTTTGCCATGTGTTTTGCAGGGTACACGGCAACTGCCTAGTGTGCACGTAAGCAGATGGCAACTCTCTTTTACCGAGTTGCCATATGTTTTTGCATGGTACATGGCAACTGCCCTACCGTGCATGTACATGGCAACTGCCCTAACGTGCACGTAAGTAGATGGCAACTCTTCCTTTTTACATGGCAACTGCCCTAGCATGCTTGTGAGCACATGGCAACTCTCTCAACTGCCTAGTGTTAGTATGTGGCAACTCCTAAAGTTATGAAATCATGGCAACTGCTTAGTGTGCTTTTATAAGCAGGTGACAACTCTCTTTTTTTACCCAAATTTGCCATGTGTTTTGCAGGGTACACGGCAACTGCCTAGTGTGCACGTAAACAGATGGCAACTCTCTTTTACCGAGTTGCCATATGTTTTTGCATGGTACATGGCAACTGCCCTAACGTGCATGTACATGGCAACTGCCCTAACGTGCACGTAAGTAGATGGCAACTCTTCCTTTTTACATGGCAACTGCCCTAGCATGCTTGTGAGCACATGGCAACTCTCTCAACTGCCTAGTGTTAGTATGTGGCAACTCCTAAAGTTATGAAATCATGGCAACTATATTAGATCAGACCATACATGGCAACTGCAGTTGAGCAACCATGGCAACTGCAGTTGTCCGACATGGCAACCGTAGCTCAGCGACATGGCAACTGCAATTAAACGAACATGGACGAGGGCCTGGACCATGGCAACTGCGGGCGTGCGGTGACCGTCACGCGTGGCGTGCGGGACCAGAAGGTACGAGGCCTGACATACGGGCGTGTGGACATTATCAACTTCGCCCACACGCACGCGTGTGAGAGGGATCAGGAGGGGAAAAAAGAGGCATGTGAGCGCTAATAGTTTTGTCCACACATAGATGTGTGGGCTGTTCCTTTTATACACCACACAAAATGTGTGGGCGGAGTTCCTAACGCCCATACGTATGGCACTTATCGGCGTCCTAGAAATATGCCCGTTTTCGCTTAGGCGTCAAAACGGGTGGTGCTTGACTTAGGTCGTCTAACCGTCTTATAAACAATGACTGAAACACTCCATTTTTTATTTCACACCGTGGTGAGGTATACTCCGTCAAACAGATCCGTTATTACAACGCCAGGTAAACCGCAGTACAGCTAAAATTCGTAAGATTTTTATCCGTGATACTTTCACTCTTCCTAGCTAAACAACCCTACAAGGATCGAGGGAGGCACTCTATGCAAGGGTGGGTGGTATCCAGATGTAACCGTGGGTCTGCATGTACCCAACCTTCTCACTCAGTTCATCAGCTTCCTTGGGGCCTCGGCTGCCAGGCTTGTATGAAACAGCCTTCAGCTTGCCGGCGTCGATGTCGTGCAACAAGGGAGTGAAGATCTGCCAGGCAGCCTGAAACAACCAGATACGATGTCAGTGACAGAACGGAAATTAGAAGAGTTCCATTCAACCAGATACAATGTCAGTGACAGAATGGAAACGAACCTTCAGCTCATCTCGGCGCACAAAGTGTTGCTGGTCTCCTCTTATTCTGTGGAAACATGTATGCCCATCAGTCCGAGTTACCATTATAAAGGACACGGGTATGTAAAACTGTATGTATGCATGATTTACTGATTTTAGGACTGAACATTCTCTTTCAAGAAGCAACATAAATTAGGGAAGGATGGTACGTACGTATCCAAAATGAGGCGCTCATATGCCTCTGGAATTTTGACATCTTGGTAACGCATCCCATATGACAGATCAAGTTCACTCTGTTCAGTAGCCATTTCCAATCCAGGTTTCTTCACCTGCACGAATTCGCGTAAAATCAATAAATTATATTAGGGGCTCTGTTCTGCTTAACATGTCAGAAAATTTTACTGCAGAAAAACAGCATGAGACATTACTCATACACAAGTAGCTGGACTTACAGTTAGTTTCATGTACATGGCTTCTGATGGCTGGAGGCGTATGACAAACTCATTTCTTCCCTGCTTCTTACCTTCAACATATTAAATTTAGTTGTCATTAGATCTCAAATTATGACTTGGACATAAAGAAAGAACAACAAACAGAGCACACTAATATTGATAGCAAAAATGCATCAACAGGAGAGGCATTCAGCAAGACACTAACCTAAAACGTGGCCAAAGAGTCATCTTAATCTTACACCCTAGCAAATCTACTACAAGTAACATGCCATGGTAGGGTAGGGCAAGCTTACAAAATATGATATATAGTGTAACTAAACTTTAGACAAGTAAAGCATTATATACTATGTTAGTGGACAGCCAAACAGTCTTGTGTTGTTTATCCAGTTGTGTGTTTTCATGGATTTCTGTGCATGGACCAGTTTTGACTATTTTGTGTACTGTCAGTGAAACTTCACATAGTAGTTTCTTGTTTCAGATGTGGAGGTGTCAAACTTATGAAAGTGTTCTTCTAGTTTTCTACTGCCTAGTCTGCCTAGATAATGTAGGGCACTTCATTCATATTTTTTAGTAGTATTGAAAAACACTGGATTAGGTAGTGACTTTGTATGCACACAGAATTCAGTGCACCATGAATTAACTTCGGAGTACATACATTTAAAAATGTCACCGGGAACATCCTTGAACTGCACACGAATTTCTGCTTTTCTTGAGTTTAATGCTTTACCAGCTTTAAGAATGAAAGGAACACCTGTCGGATATGAATATTTGGGAGTTAATACCAAAACTGAAGATACTATAATCCAGAACAAAGGCATATCAAGTCAAAGAAGATATGCTGGTTAAAAGACATACCTTCCCATCTTTCATTGTGTACCCTAAGTACAATAGATGCAAACGTTGGGGTATTAGAGTCATCTGGCACTGTAGGGTCATCCTTGTAGCCCTGATATTGTCCAAGGACTACCTCTTCGTCCTTTATCGGGTTCACGGATTGCAGAACCTGACATTAACAAAGGAAATTGATTTTGGTTAGGACTAAACTAGAATGCAAAACATAAGATGTGTACTCTGCTACACTAGTTTGTTGTAACTAACAGATCTGCACTATAGTAGTAGCGTGTGGAGGGTAGAGGGAGATAAGAACCTTGACTTTCTCATCTCTAATGTGCTCAGGCTTAAGAGATACAGGCTTTTCCATTGCAACCAAACAGAAAACCTGCAAAAAGGTAGCAATAATTTATTAGTGGGCTGTTCAATGCCTAAGAACATTTGTACTCTACAAAGAGTTCTACAATAGTTTATTAGTTTATTAGTTAAGCCATATTTGATTCAGCATGAAAGCTGTGCCCGTCAATGTTAAATACAATGAAGCTGTGCTGAATATTTAATAATCTGCTGCCAAAAAATAGCCATGGAACTAGATATAAGTTTACAAAAATAGTAAAAAGCTAGTTGGATAAGCTGGAATATCATAATCCACAGCAATGGCAAACGCAGCCTTACATGTATACAAGTTATATAACATAAAGTGTTTATCTGTCTCAAATCAAGACTAAATACTAAAGCCCATGATAAAATGACGAAATAATATCGTATGGAATCTTATTAGTTTTTACCTGCAACAAATGGTTCTGAATGATATCACGGATGATTCTGCAGTAACAAGAGGGAGGTTAGGTACTTCTATGCTAAATAATGAAGATATGCAAGTAAAATCCCAATAGTTAAGGATGATATAAGCATACTGAATTTTACTAGAATTCAGTAATGAATGCTTTGGTTGCTATAAAATTATAATCTAATAACTTACTCCCTCCGTTCCTAAATATTTGTCTTCTTAGAGATTTCAAATGGACTACCACATACGGATGTATGTAGACACATTTTAGAGTATAGATTCACTTATTTTGCTCCGTATATAGTCACTTGTTGAAATCTCTAGAAAGACAAATATTTAGGAACGGAGGGAGTACAATGTTGAACTCTACAAAAATCTAAAATAAAGCCAAATACACCATTCTCACTTTCAAATACAAAAATGAACATGTTGATCAATAAGGACCAACTAGGAATCTAGGACCTGTGACATATCTAAAATATGTAAACCTTGCTTACCAGATATTTTACGAGGTCAATATGCTTATAAGGGCATGATTTCATATTATGGAACAAAGGGTACAATTTTGTATTAGACAACTTATTAATAAAATGTAATGTTTCTACTTACCCATATTGATCAAAATATCCTCCACGTCCATCAGTTCCGAAGTCCTCCCTGAATACAATCTGTAATATTGGATACGTTACAGACTGAAGCTATTATTAAATTCCTACTTTGTAGCTGCCGCACAACTTCTTGTTTATGTGGGGGTCATAAATGTCAGTTCAATTCAAAAAGATGAAAATAAATTATAAGCAGGAAAATCTTATGCAATAACCCACATAAAATACATTCATACATGGTGCAGTAACTGCAGGTTATGCATTTCTTGTGTAAGCAATTGTAACTTTGTAAATTACCTACTTCTAACTCCTAAGTACTAACAAGACAACGTAAAACAAGCATACCTGTATATTATCAACATTGTCACGGTTCCAAAGTGGTAAGAACAAACGGTTCGCAAAACGAAGCACAAGCTGTGAAATGTTATTAGTTCAAAACGAATTAGCCCAATGATAGAAAAATAGAAATATCTGATTAAATTTATAAACATTACCAAGTTTTGGACCAACTCTTTTCCCAAGTAGTGGTCAATCCTGTAGAGTTGATCTTCCTCGAATAGCTCCCCAAGTTGGGAACTTAATTCTTCTGCAGAGTCCAGGTCCCTTCCAAAGGGCTTCTCAACAATTACTCTAGTCCATCCAGCGCGAGAAGCTACAGACACAACGTTAATGTTTATCAAATTGACAAAAGTAACAGTGCAATTTAGTACAGTAGCGTGTAGTTCTGTTTTTTTCTGAGCTGAAGTAACAGCAGGTAGAAACCAGATGATCATGTCCTCGTTACTACTTCACAGCTGGAAGTGCTAAATAAAAACGTATGCATTTATTACCCTACAAAATAAAGCAAAGGAAAAGGGTCCTGATGAAGATAAAGCTTCTGAGATAGCATAGAAAAGAAACTTACTTGGACTCATGCAATATGTTCGGATCATTTTGCACACTGAAGGGTAGACAGATGGAGGCAATGCCAAATAAAAGAGCCTACGGGAGCTTCCTGAGTTGTTTGACATCTCATAATCTGATATTTCCTTGTTCAGTTTTTCAAAACCTTGTCCACTGTCATAGGAACCACTGACATATTTTATCTGCAATACATATTAACCACAATGAAATGCATGTTGCACAAGGAATTATGAGTAGTTATATACAACAACTTACCAATTGCAAGAATTCTGAAACATGTTCCTCTGAGGCTCCTTTAAGGTATCTGTAATTTTTTGTAAAGATAAACCGTCAAGACATGCTAACATGATGGTTGAAGTTCGGTGAGTATACGAACATGCTTTGTCAGTTTCAAGAAACCACCATCTCAGTTCATATAGCATATCGCAGATCAACAGTATCCGTGCTTAAATACAGGAATAAAGTCTAATTTGGTAGACATCCGTCCTAGTATGCAAAATTACGGTAGATACAGATGCACGTATGCTTAAAAGATGCTAGAAGTGTTTAAATGCAACAGCATGATGTAAAAACCTGGAGGACACAATAGAGCCAAGAGCCTTCTTCTAAATAATGTTTTACTATGGAAAGTAAGGAGGTTTTTTGCACAACAAACACAAATTCTATGTTAGGCAACCATAGAATTAATTCCAGCCATCAGAAACTTACACACGGATGCGCCCTCTCAACCCATCATCAGAAAGATTTGTTCTCGCATACCCCACTATATGCACTTCACCAGATTGTAAGAACCCCTGTAACACATAGCAATTAAAGTAAATAGATATATCAACTGACCTAAAAGGTACAGTTTATATAACAGAAACTGTGCAGAAATAGCACGCAAGTAAAGACTACGTTTATGTATTTGCAAATGGTGTTAACACAGGTTGTTGTTGAATAAGTAGAATCTTAAACCATAGTTTTCCACCAGTCCGGATTAACTCCTAAAACATTTAATTCATATCCAGGAACAAAAATGGTTACAGCTGTTTGCACTTATACTTGTGTTCAGTGAATACCAATTATTCCTTTTTCTGGAATGCCTCAACTCAATGTACATTCCCTCTAACAATAGGTTTTGCAAATTGCATAAGAACAGCTAGTTATTGTCACAGCACCTGCTCAAAAAGGTGGTAGAGTGCCGGGAACGTTTTCTTCTTGGCAAGATCTCCAGAAGCCCCAAGTACAACGATGGTGAGGCACCCTTGCTCCAAAGGAAGTTCTAGGTCCTTTGCTAATGAGTTGAAACTGCTTTGTCTCGATGACGCCGAGGAGTCAGTTCCCGCCATGACAAATAGGATGATTCTCTTCTTCCTTCAACAGTACACCTAACCAAGTGAGCAAGATAAGATTAAATGGTAAGATTATCTGAACTTAGCCTAACAATTGCCATGCGACTCATCGAAATGGAAATTCAGTATCAGACAAAATTAGCTAGCAGAAAGTATGAATGGTTGGCTTTGTTTGGCTTATCCGATGAATTGCCAATTTATACTACTGCTGCCCTTAAAAGCTGGAAACAGAAACTGCACATGACTAGATCCAAAATCGTATTTCCTGTTAAAACTGAAATGTTTGTAATGCTCGGTGTACCTCACTCTTCTGACAACAAAGTGATCTCAGTTTATCACTCCAACTGTCAAGAACACTGAACCCGTTATGCATCCAAGATCAACATAGCAATGTTTGACGACCTCATCTAAATATAAGAAACTAACATGCACCATTAAGTATTACACCAGTCGCAACTTAGAACTGCTGAAATCAGGCATACAACTACAAACAACTCAATTCCAATTTGAACAGCTATTAAGGAAAATAAGCCCGTGCTTGAATCCTGAATTTGATCTTGCAAAACTCGGATTCTGGTAGTAGAGCTGAACTGAAACAGGAAAGGACTTGAACAGACCAAAACAACATTCCCTGGTTCATAGCAACAGACCAAACCGCTCTCCGGCAAAAAGAAGGCCCGACGAAACATCCGAAACAGAAAAAACGTGCAGTTCGTAAATACTAGTAGTACTCCAGAGCGAAGGAACCCCGTTACACCGGGCTTAAGCTTGACCGCAACTCTCGCCATTTAATTGGAGAGATCCTCAAAGAGAAAGAGAAAGAGAAATCTGGGAGCGACAAGGACATCTCCATCACCGCGGTAGGCATCACGACTACGAGATCCAACGCCGGAAACCTCACGGACAGAAACCCGGCGCGGTTCGCGGAGAGAATCTAGTCTAGAAATAACCGAAGAAAGCGCGCAGAAGACGGCGACGGCGACCCAGCCCGCCAAAAACCTCCGAAAAGCCTCGCCCAGAAGAACAGGGCAGGCAGAGCGTAGCAGAGCAAGACGGACTGCGACGAGCCGCGCCACGCCACCGATCGAGAAACCTCGGACCTACTCGCGGAAGCAAACAGGAGAGACTCTCCCACGGGAGACGAGCGAGAAGAATTAGCGGCGGCCGGGGGTTGGAGATGGATCACTGACCAGTGGCGATCGAGATTCGCGCGCGCGGCGAGCGGGCGCGCCGCGTGGGAGGGCGGGAGAGTTACTGCCGAGATGCTGGGTGGGTGGGAATGGGGTGGGGAGGGAGGGGGGGGTGGCTCCTTCCTTCCTTCCTGACTGTGGTGGGATTGGCAGCTCCGCCATTTATACCCACGACGGCGTCACCTCGGCCGCCTCCCGCTTTCGCCTCACCTGTCCACTACCTACCCGTCTTTCGGCCTGGCCGCCTGGGAAGCGGGGCTGCGTGCTCTGTGCTGTGCCACCAACCGCGAAGCGTACGTGTATCTGACAGTGGGAATTTTGTGGACTTCAGAGGGGGCTTATGTGAAAAGGAGGCGCGGTAACGGCAAGGAAAAAGTTGTCGATTGTCCCCGTCCGTTGATTACTGTATACTGCGCCATTTATTTACGGAAAATAAAATTGTATGTGCGCCTGTGCGGCTCTTGCTTCCAGACTTCTTCCAGTTTCTTTTGGAGATCTGATTAAAGTTATCATGATTAGCAAATGGTCCCCGCGTATAAAGCGGGAATGAACAAAAACCATATCCCCGGACTTAAGAAGTAGTGGCGGCATTTGGTGACGTGGGTATGATGTCATCACGCACCACTGAGAGATAAGAGTGTGCATGCACTTTCAGCAGCAACAAAAATGATTTTCAAGCAAGAACCTTAGATGTATGAAATCCTTTTATTTGTTTATTTTGAGAAAACAATTGAGGGAGTGGGTGCACACGTGAGTGAATATGTCACTCAAGTCAACAACAACAACAGCAACAAGTTAGAACCTGTGAACCAACCTGTGGTTGGATGGTTAGAGGGACGGTGGTATCCCCAGCCCACCAGGGTTCAAATCTTGGTACTCGCATTTATTTCTGGATTTATTTCAGGATTTCCGGCGATGCGCATTCAGTGAGTGTATGCGCGTGTATATGAGCACTTGTGTCTGTACTGATGTTCAAAAAAAAAACAAGTTAGAACCTCCTTTGGTGCGAAGGAAAAACATTGGAATATGAAAATTTTCTTTGACCATTGATTCAAAGGAAAAGCACCAAAATTATAACATCCACTTGGACCTCTTTTTCAAATTCGCATGCACCAAACAAGAATAATATCCTTAGTAGCATAATAACATTCTAACTAGGCTCCCATAAAAAATAACATTCTAACTATACATTTTCATACGTTTTGACTTTGATTTGACCATGTTTATTAGAATTCTTATGAACTTGACACCCATTCCTACATTTACTAATCCTATGTTTTGCGCATGCATTCCTATACTATTATGTGTTTTTCCTATCCTTGTATTTTTGAAATCCTCCAAACCAAAGGAATCCTACAAGGTCACACCCAGGCGTGAAAATAGGTAGGTCCGCTAGGTATTGGCAACTACCTTGTCGGTCTGTTCGATAAACCTGTGAGCCTAAAGATCAAAGTTTGTTAAATATTGCTAGTGGTGGTTGAGCTTGAGTGATCTAAATTACGTAAGATATAAACATTTCCGGAATCTCAAATCTTCCAGAGAATGGATAGGAGTACTTCCTAGGTATTCATTTTTGTGCTTCTTGTTAATGATCCTTCGAGGATAACTAAGGTTCTTGCTCAATGTTGCTCTATGAAGTTAGCACAAAAGTCTTGAACAAACTTTGTCGCCTTCACAAACAACAACTTTTGTGCCTCGGCTTCAGCCTTGATAGAAAGCTTCATCTCCTCGAGCTCAATCTTCTGTTTTGCATCTCCATAAACATGCCAAACCTCTCCACCATCCTTTTCACCTTCGTATCATTGCAACTGACAGCCGCCTCCTTATTTGCCATCATGACCTCAAATTTCTCTGTCATCTTGGTCGCCGCTCCTTCTCGCTTCTTCTTCTCTGTATCACACTTTCTCCCCCTTGACCTAGCCACACAGGGGGCCAGTGCGTCCCTTCGATGGTTGGATCAACCGCATCGTCATCGGCTTTGGCGTCATCGGTCTTAATGGAGTGGGAAAGGTTTGCCCACTTGTTTTGCCTACTTAACTTCATCCAACAATGCATCAACATGAAGGGCTTCTTCTCCGTCTTCTTGTACAAAGCGCACGCACATCCAGGCTAGAAAAGCAAGACAATGACATGATTAATAAGTTCCAACATTGAGCAAATCAAAGGACCAATGCATAGAGCAACACAAAGGAAAACTTATGAGCTCGAGGAGTGACGCGCCACTTGGGCACCTGTTTTGTGGTTATTAATATGCATCATCATACTTTGTTGACCTTGAGTTGAATGATTTACCATCGATGCGAAGCGACTTCGGATTGCGAGTATGGATCACTTTGTTCTTGTAGGGGTCATAGTAATTTTGCTCATGAAACTAATCGTGCACAGTCCTCCAAAAACTCGAGCCCTTTGGTCTGTGCCTTGAAACATATCAACACTAATGACCAACCATGCCAAATACAATAATTCATCACCCTTCTCCCTTGTACGTGTTGCCCTCTTCTTCCTTGGGTTGTCATTCGGATGCTCGGTCTCGTTAGGCTCCTCGGTGTCCAGAGACAACTCTTTCTCCGGCATTGGCAGGTAGAGGTCCTTGACTTGCGTGTCTTCATGGTCGTCACTATTTTCGATCATGCTCATCATTGCCTCGTAGGTGGACACCATCGAACTTGGGGGGGGGGGATTATGCTGAACAGTGATCGAGCACCGACAGATGATAGTTCCTTCGATGGAAACACCGAGAATACGAGCGTCGGTGAGTCCGTGAACACGTAGTCTGAGTTGCGGTCAATGATGTATGGTGGAGGGTGGACGGACACAGTGGAGTGTTGCGACGATTGTTGGGTGTCGGGCTCGATGTTTAGATGGACGATGTAGTAGCACAACGTATTGAACTAGGGGCAGGGTTGCGATTGCTCGGGTGGCATCGGCACAGCGGGCCACTTTGCACGAGGAGCTACAAGAATGCAACTTGAGCGTCCACCAACTTCTTCTCTTCTCCCTTTCCTTCATGCACCACCCTTGTTGTTCTACGGGCGCAGCCACACACACATAGCCACTTCCAGGTTCAGAAGGACCATGAACCTCTCAATGGGCACTTGCGGATCCGTTGTGGTGGGGAGGCTGTGATGTAGGTGGAGAGGTCGGGATTTCGAGTAGGAATAGCGAGCGGCTTGTACAAATGTGTAGGCTCCAAAGGGTGTCGGAGCCCAGCGTGGTAGGCGTCCGGACTCCATAGACCTCCTTCCAATTTGGGGCCAATTTGTGGGATTTCAGACATCTCGACCGGTACGGGCGAATTTGGTGAGCCATGTTGGATGACTAAAAGTGTTTGGATGGCCCGGTTTGGACATTTGCACACGCATAGGAGTTGTTAGGGTTACCCGCTATAGGTAGGGTCATAAGCGGTACATTCCAGACCACATGAAGGACCCACAACACCGGACATCAAGACCCCTGGGTCGCCAATCCATCCGGGCACCAACCAAGATTATCTCCACCTGGACGACACACTTTCACTTGAATGACATCCATCCGCTCGGACACCCGAAGTCCACTTGGCTGCCTCACAACGACTCGGGCAGGAGAAAGCAAACAGTCAACATGGACTGTGGAGTGTCAGGAGGCGCACGTACTCATGCATTACTGGCATTTAATATGCCAATTACCATGTGTAATGTTCTTCATCAACAAAATCATTCATGACATCTGTAACATGAGTAGACAAAGAGCTGACGCACTCTGTATAAGCCACCCCGTAGCTCAGGAATAGGGGTTCGCATCTTTGTAATCCTCAAACACTAGAGAAAA